GTCTCCGTCAAGAGTGTTCACCTTCTCTACTCTGAATTAGTTCTATCGTAAACATGTCGAGGAAGGTTCCCCTCTCCCCCGTTTGACTTTACAAGGTTGGTCCTGTCACAGGAGACTCCTCAGTAAATCTAGAGCATAAAGATGACACAATCGTGTTGAGTGAAAATGCTGAAAAGATGTGGTTTTCCGGACAACTTGAGTGGCACTTTTGGAATGTTTGAGATGCGTTCCTAGCCACGCAAAAGGAAATTATGTTGCAGAACTGGTCTGTGTCACTGCTTCGTCTAGCAACAGAGTGAAGTGGTTGAGCGCGTTGACCACTTTACTTACTTTGGAGGTGGTGGTGGTCCAGGGATTGATGAAATTTCTGCACGGATACAAAATGCTTGGATGGCTTTCGTCATCTCAAGCCATTTATGGAGACTGCATAATATCTGATTGCCTATCAGGAGCTGAGTTGCAGCTCGCTGTCTCCTACTTTATGACTGGGAAACACGGCCATCAAAGGTAAAAAGGATGAGGAAGCTTCAGGAGTACCACCACTATCGCCATCCCAGTATACGCTTTGTTTCAAGGTGTCCTATAACAGTAACGTAAATGTCACGGTTAGGATTTTGGGCAGGCGATTGACTGAAATACAATCTGGTATCTCTTCAGAAATTGATCAGTCATTATCTAGTTTATCCCGTTGGCATAAGACTTCGCAGACATGAATATCAGATCAACAATTAAGCGTACTGCTATTAAAAGTAACGGCTAACCAATGGTATAGGAAATTAGTCTGTTGGTACTATCTCTCTCGATTTTGCTCGTAGTTGACATTGTGATAAATGATCTGGTAACCTGGTTTGTAAACATTCAGCCACGTGTTCTGAATCTGATTCTGGCCTCAGGTGGTGTATTCAATCCCCACACAACATCAACGCACATCCACTCACAAAAATGCATCGAATCAAGTCATCACACCTCACAGTAGCAGTCAAAGAGCGACACCAAAGTATACAGAGGTGTATGGGAGGAGAACAAATTCGAAAACGAAGGTTTTTGAAAGTGTCCAACTGTGGAAGATGCCAAAATGTGAATACATCTTCACCCTCGTAACACATTCTTAGCAATGTTACAGGTCTCTAACCATTGATTCGTATATCGAAGATCACAACCAGGTGATTTACACCGTGCATGACTCAGATACCTCAACGATAACTAGTCTTCCACTGTATGGGCAGCCAGAAGTGTTAACCATCTGCATGAATCTAGTAATATAAATAATGCAATAAAACATAACTTATCCTCATTACTTCTTTCTCCTTCGTCTTTACTACCTGACACCAATATTAACCCTCTTGCAATTTCCTGAACGTCTCACTCTGCAACCATTTCCAACAATCAAAACCACCAAAACTTCATTCCTAACCTTCTAACACCCCACCATCGATTTCATATTTGAGCTTTCAACGTTCGAACTCTATGTCAAATCGGACAGCAGGCATCGCTCACTAGGACTCTGAAATCTCTACCGATGGATGTATACTGTCTCTGAGACGCGTATACAGGACCAGAATGTGGTTATTAAGTTGACCTCACCTGGCCGTAGTAGTGAATCTTCAAAATTCACCCTAGGAGTGTTCGAAGACACAATGGACGTGCTACTGTAGACATAGCACTGAGTTGTAGGGCAGAAATTGGGCTCCGTGATTGGATACCAGTCAACGGCCGTCTATGTGCTGTTCGACTGAATGGGATCTGTATGAACTAGGAAGGATCGTGAAACTAGACAATGTTTGTTCGTATTCTCTGCCTACGTGTACACCGACTGCAGTTCGGAAGATGCAAAGAATGAATTCTATGAGAAGCTGTCAATTTTGCCACAGAAAGCAAAACGTTTAGCTGCTGTCATATGCCAACGAACTGACTGCGGTGGTCGTCTCTTGCAATATTTTTATGAAGACCACATATTTGTAGCTAGCACTAACTTTACTTGTAAGGAGAGACGTGCTTTCACCTGATGTCAACGAACATCAAAGCAAGGATGGACGAAGATAGATCATATTTCTACAAGCCTGCTGGTCATCCCAGAACTTGTTTGGACTCTGAACACCCGTTAGTACGAGCACTGGTATATCTGTGCCTCACTGGTTACAGAAACAGGCGACAGTGAAGCCTGTGTAAGCTCGATGAGAACGCGAAGTACGTATTTAGGGAGGAGATAGCTAAACATTTATTTGAACGTAGTCATGGAAACACTTATGGAGAGCTATCCTCTGAGTTAACGACGACTAGTGGTGTCCAAAATGAATGCCCGCTGTCACCGGCCCTATTTATTTCACAATAGATATAGTGATGAACATAACCACAGGTACGTCTTACTTCACAGGGATTGATCTACTCCATGGAGGTCATCTGGTTGACTTGGAATACGCAGATAACACTGCCTCACTAAGTAAAATGGCTGACAAAGCGTTGAGCGAAATATTTCTATATTTGGCATATTTTATACCTGTCATATATAAGATGATGTTCTAGAACTGGTATGCAACTACTTTTAGTTTATGGAGGAGTGAAGTGGTGTAATGTGCCAACCACTTCACTCGCTTGGAGGGTTTTATCAGCGTAAAGACCATATTTCAGGTAGGATGCAGGAGGCTTATTTGACATTCGCCGTATGGTGTCACCACTGGCGCCGACTCGCGATATGACTACTAGTCGAAGGACGAGTATACTGCGCTGAAGTCTATTCTGTCCTGTTTTACGGCTGAGATGGCCTATAAAAGTAGTTATAAGGCGGTTACAGGTATTCAACCATAGGTTACTTAGCATCATTGCTTGTGTATGTTGTATTAACGATGTGAGCAGTGTAGCAGTTAGGGGAAAGATACCACGCAAGAGAGGAGTCGGTCGATAAGGTTGTGGACATTCATCGACTGATACTGCTTGGAAAGCTTTGCGCGTGCCGAACTACAGCCGACCTCAACGTCCAGTGACAGTAAAATTTGAATTAGGCAGGAAGAAGGCTCAGATTGGCTAGAATAAGACGTGACATCAGTCAATGACGTCTCTGGCCACTTGGTTTACCCATGTAGAAAGGTGTAGATAATCTGCTTGGGATCCTCAAAATGATAGGAATCAATGGTTGGAGACCCTTAGTGAAATGGCTGAAAATCGGTCACAATGGTGCAGATGTACATACTCTTTGACGTCTTCCGGAGCTTGGATGTTTTTCCTAACCTTCATTTTTAAATTTCTCCACTTTTCATACACCTTTGTCTACTTTGATATTAGCTTTTTCAACTAACTTGTTCTCTACACGCCTTTATGAAATGTGACAACTTAAATTGATGTGCTTCTGCACCAGGTTTAGTGTTGACTTTTTCTGACTGACGCATCTCAGATCATCAGTCACAGACTTCATCTACTGGTGCAACATAATGGTCTGGCGACCTTTAATTTTAAGTATACTTCGGCTTTAACTTCACGTCGAGGTCAACGATACACTAGCAACCCCAAGACATCTAGGTCATCTCAGTCGACAGAGGTTCACAACCTCATCGTTTGATTTCCCACCTCTGCTTAATACCCTTTTATTAACCTCGACATTGCTCATACGGTGATTGCACTGTAAGCCAGCACTGCTACGAGGAGACCTGTGTTCAAAGACAAGCAAAATCTTACATTTTACCTTCAACGAGCATCATAGCTATGTAACACGACAAAGCCGTCCGCTGCATAATGCATTCGTCTTTTATTAGCTAGTCAGATATATCGTCTATACCAGATGGTGTAGGCCAACAAAACCCAAATGAGCCTTTTGTACACCAGCTGAGATTACTTCAGCAACCAACCCGTCCCAGGTGATGCAACTTCCTCTAGAAAGTGGGTAAGTAGTTGTGGAGCTGTGGCTTAGACAGTTTACTTTCAACCAGTGGGTCACGGATTCGAACACCACCCCATCTACCGAGGTTTAGGCAGTTAGGTAATATCATCATCCTTCACACAATAAGTGTGGCTGTCTTTTGCACGAATGTGCACAAGGTTGTTAAGAACATGTCGATATCGTCTTGGGAGTGGGTCAATATCTATGAAGTTAGAGGTACTCAGAATTATATTCATTGGCATACTTGTAAAGAAAAGAAGCAGAAACAGTGACATAGTTCATTCCAGGTGTACTCCACTAGTTGTCATTACTTTGGATGACAACTCTCCATAAGCCTTCACATGGCTGCATGAGTTCGAGTAGAGAGCTTTAATAAGCTTAACATACTTGCTCGTTACTATAGGAATAGATTGTAATTCCATTTTAGTCTGTTTATTAGAAATACTACTGGATAACGTTTCCGACATAATTTATTGCCAATATCTATATAATATGATTTTTGGGTCGTAATCAATTTTTACGTAATAATGTCGCAGAAAAAGGGGTCATCCTGCCTGGCATATCGTGTAGCTAATTTTAACTCCTTTCAGGGATGATCATTTCAGATATCTTATCATCAAAAAAGAAATCAAAGTGCAGTCAAGGCCTCAAGCGAACAAACGTTGCAGCCACGTCAAGGTAGCAGCCATCAGCCCGCGGTAATGAACCACATTCAAGGGAGAAACCCAAACTCAATATACCTTGTTTTCTCTTAGGTGACAATAAGTCGACACTTCAAGTATTTTACTTACACCAACCCCGATGAGAGCGAATGAGTCATCCCACTTAGGGCTGAAAACGCAATTAAACTCAATCATGTCAACTATTATCATCCTAGATTTCTTCACACTGCGCAGAAGCAAGTTATTAGACGTTCAACTAGAAATTCTGATTAGTTTCCCCTAAAAGACTGCGGTCAACCGCACATGACACTGCGAAATTCAGAAAGGTGAGCAAGCTCTTCATATAAATGATAGACAGTGGTGAGAAATGAAACCTTGAGACACTCCACTAAGCGTCAAGAACCAACTAAAAAAAGCTAACTAGCTACAAGCGGTTATTAAAGTAGTCCCTAAACTAACTGATTTACCTCCCATGTGTACCCGGACAATGAAGTTTTAAACAGATGATGACTAACGTTCTTCAATACCAACCAGTCCAATACGAATAAGTCTTCACTGGCTCTAGAAGAGAATTCAGCTTCTACAGAACGACAAACTAGTATTACAAAACCTACTATGCAGAAATTTATTCCTGAGTAAATTCTACGATGGCATTAAATTGGCCAAATGCTTCGATGCACGAAGGATAACTACCTAGAAAACAACCCTTGACGGTGATGATTAGAGGAGAAATTCGACTGAACCTTTTTCTCTGGGCAACCAGCTTGTTACCACCCAGTCTACATTAAGCTGAAATGCACTAGAAACTATGGGCATCCCAAACATATTTCAGGCACACTTACAAACTTTGGGGAATTCCTGCAAGTTCCCCGTTACAGGTGCATTTCAAGAGTTTTTAAGCATACTAACGCATCCAATTATCTAAAAAAAATGCTGTACCAAAGGATATTCAAAAGTATGACTTTGTGAATTGAGTGATTCCTCATGAAACCGGAGCACTGCCGAGATTCCCAGAATTAACCTACAGTGGACAAGATGAAGATATTGTGCGTCCCTAAGTGCGCTCTAATGACTATTATGGGTATTAACTTTAAATCTCCATAGTGAGCCCGGATAAAGTACCGACTTGGATAAGATCGGTTGAGGTGGTTACTTCTTGGGCTTATCCATATTATTGGAAATTTCCAGAGGCTGGTAAAATGAAAGAGCCAGCCAATGTTTTCTTTTAAGCAACTTATTATTAGTTTCCGCCAGACTCGACACTTACATTCTGTCCGTCAGCAACAACATAGATATTGGTAGGAGTGCTATCCCTAAGCGAATGACGCTCGCTCGCTTCCCCTTCCAGTCAACCTTGAACGACAAAACTTAAGCGGGTTTTTCATCTTTAATAGTATTCTTGTGAACGTTTTAGATAATATGCTTCAGTGTAGGTAGTGTGGCTCAAAAAATAGAATTTATTGTAGTGTACTATGTCCTAACTAGTGACATCCCCGACTGGGGCAGATGAATACTGTACTTTACTTTGTGTGTTGGTAGGTGGAAATTTGCATGTCCGAAGCGCTAACCACTCCAAATGAACTAGGTCAATAATTTCTCTAAATCCACATGTTTCTAACTTTCAATGCAATATCCTAGATTGCGTAACACTACGATTCATCGTAATATTTTGAAGCATCACACACTTCCCCAAATCAATAGCCTAGGGTTTGACGAGATTCAACATTAATGCTGACTTTGGTCGTTGAGCTGGACTCGCTAAGCTGAAGGCACTCGGTCAAGCAGCCTTGCCATTTGGCACGCTGTCGTGTTACGCTGCACTGTTCGCAATCGACTCTCTAGCCAGTTAGTTGGAACGCATCGGTATCCTGGCATGACCTCGCAAATATACTATTCCATCCGACTAAGCTGTTGTGTTCTTTCTTGGTCTCGTATTCGTGGGCATATGACAAGTTCGAATAATTGTTGGTTAGCGTGTGCGTCTGTCAAGTTCGCGCCAGGGCAATTCCTGAAATCTCACTATTATTATTATTTATTATTTGCCCCTTGGGTTCCTAGTGGAACACAGGGCCTCACTATCACGTCTCCATTTCACCCTGTTCTCTGTAGTCTTTTGAACCTGGCTCAACCACTGCCCGCAAGCTTTCATTTTTTCCTCACACGATCTCAGCCTGAGAAGCCCAACTCGTCGTTTCCCCTTCGGGTTCCACTGGAGGGACTGGCTTGACACATGATGTCTCCAAATGGTCTTCTCAGTTTATGTCGAATCTAATCCATCTCCACTCTGTTCTGCATATTTGTTGGGGGACGGGTTGTTGGTTGGTTCTTTCCCGGCCAGCCAGAGTTTCTTATTATTCTGGCCATCTGATCTCGAGTATCGAGTGGGCGTAGGTGGCAGCTGTTCATGATGTATGTCCGTAGTTTGTTGGAAATGCTTTTCGTATCACACCAAGCTCATGAACTACATAGCAGCACTGATTTGACATCGATGTTAAACATCTGGATCTTGTTCTGTATGCTGAGCTCAGTGCAGCACATCTCCACACTGGTTTCAGGTCAGTGAAGGCTTGTCTTACTTTCTTGATCCTGGCTTTCACATCCTCGTCTATAACTCCTGTGGTTGAAATGAAGCTGGCTAGGTGGGTAGGTGAAAGAGACAACTTCCTTCAGATTTCTACCGTTGATGGTGATTAGTGCTTGTTGTTTCTGGTTGGGCATCTTCACCACTCTTGTCTTCCCTACGTTCACCTGAAGGAATTCTTGTCTTTACCGCCTCACCTCGCCTCTTCCACCAACTTGTTAGTTTTCACCTGTGGATCTATGCGTTTGTGCGACATTGGACATAAATCACTAGCGGAATGCAGGTCTTCTTCCGGGGTCTTTTCATCGGTCCAGCCAGCGTGTGCCCATCTTCTCGCTCCTCACGGTTGTCTATTGCATGATCCAGTCCAGTCGGGCACAACCAAGAACATAGTGGGTCATAGTAGGCGGCAACCTTGCCTTACTCCTGTCCCCTGCCTTCACTTCAAAGGCATCAATGAGCTTCCCAGTGTAAATCACTTGGCATTTGGCGTCTTCACACAGCATATAGCTGTTGAATGAGACTGATAAAGGTTTGTGGCACTAAAACCGTAGTATGGAAGCAGCTGCCCGCCAAATTGCTTGTTGGTCGACGCTGTCGAAGGTTTTTTCAAAGTCAATGAAGTTGAGGTAGAGTTGACTGCCATCCTATTCTCTGCTCTATGATGGTGCGTGGCGCTGCAAGTTGATCCTTACATGATTTGTTCTTTCTGTAGCCAGCCAACCTGTTCTCTTAGTGATTTTGAGTCCAGCGCATTCTTTAGTCTCTGCTGATGATGCAACTTAATGTTTAGCTTGATATGAACAGGAGCACGATTCCGCGCCAGACCTTCAAAGACGTAGGTCTTCCTTTTTTGAAAGTTTGATAGGGCAGCCCTTCTTTATATCAGTTGGTAGCCACCTTTCCATTCTTCCATACCTTCTGCAACAGCGGCATGAGCAGGTCTGTGAGTCTGTTCTCAGTGCTTCAGGAGGAATTCCATCTGGTCCCTCTGCTTTCCAGGTATTTGGTAACTTTATGGTATTCAGGACCGCGGTTTTTGTCGGAATGTCTGTGTTCATTGATAGTTCTGCGGTTGGGCCACTGATGGTGTCTGGATGATTTGCAGGTGGTGGTGGTCGATTCAAGAGCGCTTCGAAGTGGTCGGCCCATCGCGCACTCTTCTTCAATTCTTTGTCCGGTGTGGTGTTTCATAGGTTGTACTCAGTTCCTCTTTTCGTTGTGCATTCTTGCACTGCACTGGTTTATCTTCTTCTTCACCATCCTCCTCTCTTCCATCAGCTCCCATGTGTCCGTCGAGATCCATTCCTTGTCTTGCCTCTTCCTCACTAATACGGTTATGCAGGTTTCTTTCCATATAGCCTTCAAAGAGTTCCGGTGTTCTTCCACACAGATTCCTTCAGAGACGTTGCTCAGTGTCTCCCATTTTGTCCTGACGACTGGCTGACGTGAAGATGCCCTTTGTAGTTTTGTCCTTCGGTTCAGCTTCTGTTCTGGGTGTTCAACTTCAGCTGTGGTCTACCGCCGACTTCCGTGAAGGCTTTCGACTTGGTTTTGAGGGTTTCTCACACTAGATATTGAGTGAGTGGTGTAAGCCTACATCTGCTTCCCTTCTTCATCTGATCTTCTGCCCAGTAGGCTGCGTCTCCACTTTCTTCAGATTGAGGCGAGGTCGATCTGATTTCTAGTGTGCCCTGGTATCCGGTGAAGCCATGTCGCTTGTGTTTGTGCACAACGCCCTCAATCACTAGGTCATTAAATGCACAGAAGTCTGCAAACAGTTCTCCATTCTCATTCATTTCACCAAGTGCCTCTCAGCCCTCCATCAGTTCTCCTTCTGTGTCGTCTGCTCTGAGTTTGGCACTCGTGCCACCCATTAGAATTTTGACGTTGCCATCCGTGGTTGCCTGTAGAATCCGTCCTTCTCCTCTTCATCTGCATTATTTGTAGGTGCGTAGCGTCGCATTTTATGATTGTGACTTTTGAGTTGCATCTTGCTGTCATGATCCCAATACTGGAGGAGATTGGTTCCCACTGCATGATAGCCCTCGATGATCTTGAGGACGTCCTGATAGCTACTCCAAAACCCAGTGTGCTGGTGGCTGGCATCTGGGTGACAGTAGTGGAGTAGATTTTTGACCCCCCAGTTGATAGGTGGAAAAGCCTACTTCGATTCCATCTGCTTTCAAAGATTCCTAGCACTTCTACGCCATAATTTCTGCCTCTTTGGCGATCTGGACAACCTTGGCAGCCAGCTTGAAACACTGTTGGGACACCCCATGTCCCCGTTCATACTTTTGCTTTCATCGAGAGAAGACACATCGGTCAACTGGTTTCCCGAATGCTTTCACCAACCGGCGTCACTTCGCCTCTCCGATTCCGACGAGGAGTAAGTTTAATCTTGTTTTATATTTTCGTTGTGCTCCGAAGTTTCTTTAGCGGTTAGATTGGCTTTGCGGGGCAGGGCTGCTGGCCCCATATCCAACCTCTTCTGTTCATCCGAGCTTAGGACCGGCCAGTAACTAGTGTACTAGTTACCTAGGCGAGGTCATCGAAATATCTCAATTTCCTTGTAATATGCCTGCTACTTGATTTTGCTCCTTTTGCTGACTAATCGGTGCTTTAATTAGCACGTTTTCAGCTCCCAACACTGTACAGTCTCATCAGCCTTACCTGAGGCATTTCAGCTAATGGGGCCTTTGAGGCCAATCTTCAACTGGAAAGAAGTGGAGGACGTAGTTAGTGAGCCGCAGAATGTACTTGACGGTGTGTTTTACGACGAACATAGGTCACTCATACTCATTATGTCCGCTCGGAAGGCATGGAGGCGATTAGCAGTCGTCTTAGATGCACCACTGTGGTTCTTGAGTGTGCTTTCGCAGGGAACTGTAGA